ACGCTACTTGCAGCACACTTGTTCCCCAAGGTCCAGGATACGAGAATGTTTCCTTAGCGAACCAAGTTTGCACGACTGTCGGATCACTGCCTGACATGCTCACCGTAGACGGCAATAGGTTTGTGAACATGTCGTACGGCTACTCCTATAGTGATCTGTGGAGAGTAAGTTGATTATATAACCACAATCGTCCTTTCTGAGATCTCATACTCTGCAGAATTATGGTATCATCGTTACCTTTGGGGTTGGCTTCTTCGTGCTCCTGCTCATCGCCGCGGAGTACAACACGAACTCCGCGTTTGATACCGCGGTGACTCTCTTCAAGCAAGGAACGCGTGCAGTAGAAGAAGTTACTGCTACTCCGGAAGACGAAGAGAAATTTGACAAGTTATCTACCCGGCCACCATCTTTGGACGGTGGTGCCGCGCGGACCGCCGGCGCACCTGCACCCTATAGTTCACTCGAAAAGCCAGAAACCCTTGATGTATTTACCTGGCAACACATCCAATACGTCGTATCGGTATCCGGCGGAGAACGGCGTTTGCTCGATGATGTCTCTGGGTACGTTGCACCTGGAAAATTAACGGCTCTCATGGGTGAATCTGGCGCTGGAAAGGTTCGTCGCACATCTATCTTGAGAACTCTTCATTCAACGTTTTATCACAGACGACGTTGCTCAACGTTTTGGCTCAACGGGTCGATGTCGGAGTCGTCACGGGAAATCGGTTCGTCAACGGGCAGCCCGTTCCCGCAGACTTCCAGGCTCAGACGTGAGTCAACTTGCTATTGGTCAAGATCTTTCGTTGATAATCCTTGCAGTGGCTATTGTCAACAAATGGACACTCACTTGCCGCAAACGACTGTTCGCGAGGCTCTTCTGTTTTCCGCTCGTCTACGACAACCTGAGTCTGTCCCATCTGCGGAACTTGAATCATAGTATGTTCACATTTATTCGCCGTACGCATACAACTGAGAGTTGTGGATAGCGTAGACAAGTGCCTGACTATGTGCGGCCTTGAAAATTATGCTGATGCTGTCGTTGGATCATTGGGTGTTGAGCACCGCAAGCGTACTACCATCGGGGTTGAGCTCGCAGCAAAGGTGCATACTTTAGTGCCACATTTTCGATGCCGTGCTGACAGTTTCAAAGCCCAAACTGCTTTTATTCCTTGACGAGCCAACGTCCGGCCTTGATTCCCAGTCAGCCTGGGCAATCATGACGTTCCTTCGTGAACTGGCAAACAATGGACAGGCCATTCTTTGCACGTGAGTGTGTTAGATTTGGGATTTTATCGCGACGCTTAATTGTTGTAACCAGAATCCACCAGCCCTCTGCTGAACTCCTCCAGGTGTTTGACAGGCTATTACTTCTGCGGAAGGGTGGTCAGACCGTTTACTTCGGTGATATCGGCGATAAATCATCGGTTATGCTGGATTACTTTGAGCGCAACGGAGCCACTCACTGTGACGCCAATGCTAATCCGTAAGTCGTTTCATCTACGTCTTTGAAATGTCACTCAAGTTGGTATTCAAGTGCTGAGTACATGCTGGATACCATTGGGGCCGGCGCAACCGCGACTACCTCTGTCGACTGGCATGACATTTGGAAGCGATCTCCCGAAGCTGCTGAACTTCAAGCGCAGATTGAACGGATACACGCTGAAGGTCGCGCACGGCCATCGGTCGAGACGGAGCGTCGCTCTGAATTTGCCACCTCATGGATTCATCAAGCAGTCAGCCTTACGAAGCGCAACTTCCTTGCGTACTGGCGTGACCCGACGTACCTCATCGCGAAGATCATTCTCAACATCGCGGGTGGTTTGCTCATAGGGTTTACCTTCTACAACTCCAAGGATAGCTTGCAAGGGACACAGAACAAGCTTTTTGTGCGTTTCTTCCATGCTCGCTGTTAAGTCACGTGCTAATTTCAGTGCAGTCAATTTTCCTAGCAACTGTTCTCTCTGTTCCCATATCTCAGCAACTCCAGTCCGTCTACATCAACATTCGCTCCATCTATGAAATCCGGGAGCGACCGAGCAGAATGTACAGCTGGACTGCACTGGTCACGTCGCAGATCCTGGTCGAGATTCCCTGGAACATCTTATGCTCATCGCTATTCTTCGTCTGTTGGTACTGGACAGTTGGTTTCGCCACCGATCGAGCAGGCTACACATACTTGATGTATGGAGTCGTGTTTCCCCTCTATTACACTACTATCGCAGAGGCGGTCGGAGCCATGGCACCCAGCGCAGTGATCGCATCGCTATTGTTCAGCACAGTATTTTCATTCGTCGTCATCTTGTGTGTTCATTTCGCTCTTTTATGGGTCCAATCGCTAACGCCTCTGAAGTAACGGTGTTTTGCAACCTTTCCGTGCGTTGGGTTGGTGGCAATGGATGTACAGGGTGTCCCCATTCACGTATGTCGTCGAAGGCATCTTGGGTCAAGGTTAGTGCACGCTCTCTTTCGTATGACCTTTACTAAGGCGTATTTCAGCTATTGGTGGACAACTGATCAATTGCGCGTCAACTGAATTAGTGACAGTTGATCCTCCCAGTGAATCCAGTTGCGCGACGTATATGGATCCCTTCATTTCTTTTGCCGGGGGCTACATCACGAATCCCAATGCTACAGCCGAATGCCTATACTGCCCTTACCGCACCACCGATGAGTTCATGTTCAGCAATTTCAACATCTTGTATTCTCATCACTGGCGAAACACGGGCATTGTCCTGGGCATCGTCGTGTTTAATGTGCGTTCCTTTTACTTGACTGCCCTGCATGAGCGCTCATGAGTTTTAACTTTTAGGTATTTGCCATATTTGCTTTCACATACATATTCCGCATCCGCAGGGGCAACGTATTTAGTCTTTTTAAGGGCCGAAGATAGAAATTATATCATTGCTATGTCGAGGTTGTGCATTCACAACTGTAATCAGTCTAATGTTCTATACTAGCTAGAGTCGCTTCAGCATAAATTTAATTAGCAGTTTGTGAAATATTCATCACTCGTTCACATGAGTAGCGTGCATGTAACAGCGTCGGTGGGTATATAGTTAATCTTCCATAAGAGAATGCACAGCACAACTTGCAGATCACCGTATCGACAAAATCCCTGACCTTGTCGAACTCGACCTCTCTTTCCCTTCTTTCTTTTTCTTTGCGCCCACCCCCTCCCATATCCTCCAAAACTTCAGATTCTCATCCCCGGCACCCGTGCACACGACATCGCCTGCAGGCCCTACCGCTGTATACAGCACCCGTGAGTCATGTGCGTCCCGTATCTCCGCGATACGCTCGAGCGACGGGTACGCGTGCACCATAATTGCGTTTGTAGGGTACCCATGTGTCGTGAGAATCTCTTTTTTATGCGGCGACCAGATGATGGAAGTGACTTGGGATGGCGTTTTGAGGGAGTGTAGACGGGCACCAGTACCACTGTTCCAGACGTGAACAGTTGCGTCGTTTGTGCCCCCGCCGCTGGCCAAGAGGGAAGATTGCCAGGGGCACCAAGCAATTGCCTTCATAGTGTGTTAGATATACCACATATAATTGAGACTACAGCCCACCTTTACAGCTGCGGTATGGTTCCGCTTCGTCCACTTGGCCTGCCCGCGCGCGCCCTCCGTAACATCGCCCACGCGTCCATCCCAAATATTGACAACATTGTCGTTACCTCCACTCGCTAAAAGTTCGCCGTCTGCTCTCCACTTCAGTCCGCAGACTTCTCCCGTGTGTCCAAGGAGCTCCATGACCTTGTGCCGAGGGACACGGACATCATGGTGCCATATACTTCCGTCCCCACATCCAGAGCTGAGTATATGGGCGTTCCAAGATAGCACGGCAATTTGACCCTGATGTCCACCCATCGTCCGGAGCTTCTGTCCGGCCTCTACATCCCACAACTCGACTTCGCCAGTACCAAGACCAATACCGAGGTAAGCACCATCATTCGAAAAATCAACGGAGGAGACATATGTGCCCTCAGGCGCTTCACTAAGGTGAGAGACGATCCCTGTATCGGCCCGCCAAACATACGTGCTCTCAGCAAGGGCGACAGCAACAACGTTCTGGATAGACCATGACACCAGATTGAGGTAAAAGTCATCAACCATGCCTGGAGCATCGAGGACGCGCTCGGGCTGAGTGGGAATGCGGCGGGACTTGTTGGTTGTGGAGCTAGTTGAAGAAGGGAGTTCACCTGGGCGTCCGTAGAGCGGACGAGCTAGTTCACGCTGCTGGGAAAGCGTAGAGTCTGAAGATGAAGCTGGGGGCGCCTCGTGGTAAGCCAGCACGCGGCGATTGAGAGGGACACCTGTTGCAGCTGCAAGACGAGCTGTATGTCCCGGTGATACGGTTTTTGGGTTGAGACTCATGAGTTCGAGTGTGGCAGCAACATCGTCGGTTTCACGAGTAGTAATGAAACGATCACGATTGTCACCGGTAGATTGCGTACGCTCCCGAGTAGCAGGAGTTGACCTTGAGCGCTTGAGCTCTGGTCTAGGCTGTGATGTAGGGGGCAAGTAGTCGCGTGAAATGACATCCAAACGGGTCTCGATGCCGCCTTTTCTGATGACTCCTCCACCCGCTTGGCGGTGAAATGAGTCTGAGACGATAACGCCACCTCCAGTTGCGCGTTTTACGGGAGAAGCTTGTCGCGATTTTGTAATGAATGGATTTGAGAGGTCAGCAGGATGAGATCGTTTCTGTGGGGAGATGGAGATACTATTGAAGGCAGAGATGATAGACGGAGTGAGCGGTGTCTTTGCATCTGAACGTGATCTATAGCGAGATGGTGTTTTTGGTATCGAGGTCATCGTGACACACAGCGAGCACCACAATCAGAACGACCTGAGAGCAAATGGAAGGCGCAAGCAAAAGAAAACAACAATTGTGTGATTTTGGGCAATAAGCATGGTTTGTGGCATTTTGAACGTGTAGGCACGTGTATATCACGTGCTTTGTTTTTCGACGCGTTCCAGTGTCTGTCAGCCGCTTTGCAAATCCTCCAAGTTGGTGTCAGCCAGCTTACACTGGACAGTACTAGTATGAAAACAGTTCATGTGCGAATAAGACCACATCCTTTTTTCTTGCAACCACGACCATTTTTATCTCCGTCGTTTCCACGTTCATTACCCACCGGATGATGTCCCTCAGAACCATCTTCATATCTTTTCTTCTTATCAGCATAGCCCACGGTAGTCCTATCGATTCACCCAGAGATGACGCACAGCAGGTAGAGACCGTCCCATTCACCGGGGTTAATCCCACAGATCCACCCCTAGCGCACGGTCCTGACGGTCTCCGCCCCGCCTCAGCTGCAATGGCAATGATCATTGGCGCTGCCCAGTTCAAGGGGAATGATACTCCTGGAACCGTGCCCACACCCTACGAGAAGCACACCACCCCTACGGCTCCCACTGCTTTATTCCTTTCCCCCACTACCCATGCGACAGCCTCGCCGACTCCCAGCCTCCACGTCTCCGAAAGCCCACCTGATATTAAATCTGCGCCACAGTCAAATCCCTCTCAGCGCAACGTCCTCGTCCTCGCCATTGTTGTCAGTTCTGTCCTCGCTCTCGTGGTCTGCGTCACCATCAGCAAGTACACTCTCGAGTACCTCCGGAAGGCAAAGCGCAAGTTACGACTGTCGCAGGAGTCTTGGGGACACAGGGAGAGGCCGTTCCCTTCTGAAGTGCCTGTGCCAGATACAGAAACAGAGCACCAGAGCTTGAAGACATTCTCGTTTCCCGGCCAGCCGGCCCGCAAGGACGTGCGTCTGTATGACCCCAACGAACCATCATCCAAGCCCACCATGCGCACCCGGTTCAGCAACCTAATCGCGTATACTGCATTCAGGCACCGTGATCACGACAGCGTCACCACCCAAGACAGTGCTTCCTCCACGCCCTACCTTCTCAATGTCCCCGGCCATTCAGATCACTCTCGTACAAGGAGCGCGCCCATCATCACTCACGATGACTCCACGGCTACTGTGAAACCTGCCAAGTCTACAGAATCAGATTGGGATATTGCGAGGTCGTCCTATCGTGTATCGCAGGCGAGCGCCAATGTCCCGAGCTCTTTGCTTCCTTCTAGAGGCAGCAGGTTGTCCAGACTCGATTCGACGTGGTAGTTCTGTAAATCCATTGTATTTCAGGGGTTACTTCTACTGTGCTCAGAATGGCAGAAAACGATAGTACGCAAAGTATCACTGAGTGCAGCAGGTGTGGTATCAAATTACACAAATTATGGAATATTTGAATGAGAAAGGAATGTAATAGGGATTCATATGCAAGTGAGGGTGTATGAAGTCATTAGGGTTCAGATCAGTATCATGCATTACTTCCGGAGACTAGCAAGCTTCTGCTGCAGACCGGCTAAGGGGTTGCCCTTGCGGATGCGGCAGATGTACGTGAGCGTGAAAATTGCACAAACCTGCAAGGCACACAATTAGCTCAATGAAAGTACACAACAACGAGAACTTACGTTGAAAATGGTAATACCAAGCATGATGCCCAAGTCGCGCCAGTGGTGAGAAGCCTTGATGTTGAATGCGGCGAACATATAGTCGTCGGTCGTGCGGTAAGGGCAGAACAAACACGTGGACGTGGCGCTGGGATCGGCGAGGTAACCGCCAGCATATTGCATAAATGGATCCAAGTATTGGGAGCAAGTGGATCCACTGGGAGGGATGACAGGGACGAACTCATGCTGAGCGCAGTTAATATCATTGCCACCAATAGCTAAAGGAAATGTTAAGAATCGTGTACCGACTTGGTTCGAAAGACGCACCTTGACCAAGCAGACCCTCAATGAAGTAAGTGAAAGGGGAGACGCGGTACATCCACTGCCACCATCCGAGAGCACGGTATGGTTGTAAGACACCGTTGCTACAAAACAGTAAGGGACAAGGTCATATCACGTGCATCTGCATTTACTCACAAGATGACAACGAACGAAAACAGCGCACTGAACAGAAGTGACGCGATCACAGCGGTTGGAGCCATGGAAGCGACCGCCTGCGCGACAGTTGTGTAGTACATGGGGAATACGATACCATACATGAGGTATGTGTATCCCGCGCGATCGTTGGGGAACCCGACAGTCCAGTACCAGCAAACAAAGAAGACCGACGAGCACATAATGTTCCATGGGAGCTCGACCAGAATTTGGCTGACAATGAGAGCGGTCCAGTTGTACATCCTGCTTGGGCGCTCTCTAATTTCATAGACAGTCCGAATGTCGATAAACATTGCCTGAAGCTGTTGCGAGAGGGGAACACAAAGTACCGAGGCTAAAAAGATCGCCTGTCAAACAGGTTAAAGATTGTCGTCGTGTAATACAAAACATCACATACAAAGAGCTTGTTCTGGGTACCCTGGAGCGAATCGCTGGTCTTGTAGAACGTGAAGCCAATAAGCAAGCCTCCCGCAACGCAAAGCGCGAACTTGGCTATGAGGTAGGTTGGATTCCGCCAATATGCCTGGAAGTTACGCTGTGTGAGGGCTACGAGCTGGTGATACCACGACGTCGCAAACTCGGTAGGCCGTGCTGCTTGAACGACGGGGCGAGCGCGGCTTTCATTGTGGATATTCTCAATCTCCTCTTGGAGTGTAGCAGCCTCAGGTGAATTCTTCCAGATGGAGTGCCAGTCGACCGAGGTCGACGCTGTTGCACCTGCGCCAATGACATCAAGCATGTACTCGGCCCTGGAATAAGTTGTCAAGTTGAGAAGTGTCAAGATACAACCAAAAGCACATACGGGTTAGCATCAGGATGGCATCGAGAGGCACCGTTACGCTCAAAGTAATCAAGCATGGTAGAAGACCCTTCGCCGATGTCACCGAAGTACACAGTCTGACCTCCCTTCTTCAGGAGCAGGAGACGGTCAAAGACCTGGAACAGCTCTCCAGAAGGTTGATGAATTCTAAAGCAAGATTATGAGAAATTATGCTATGGCACTCGCTACATGGAACTTACGTGCAGAGGATGGCTTGGCCTTTGTTGGCAAGCTCGCGAAGGAACTTCATGATGGCCCAGGCGGACTGAGAGTCAAGACCGGAAGTAGGCTCGTCCAAGAATAAGAGAAGTTTAGGCTACACCACCACGCTATCAGTACATCGCACGACGACAACACGTAATATAGACAAACCTTAGCAGCGAGCTCAACGCCAATAGTCGTACGTTTACGGTGCTCGACGCCCAAAGACCCGACGACGGCATCAGCATAATCCTCGAGGCCGCACATGACAAGACACTTGTCGACACTGAAATAATATTATAAACCAGTGGCAAAGAAGACAACGACAACTCACTATTCCGCCAACTCAGCCATAGGAACTGTCTGGGGCTGGCGAAGGTGGGCGGAAAACAGTAGAGCCTCTCGAACGGTGGATTGAGGAAGGTGAGTGTCCATTTGTTGGCAGTAGCCGCTGGCAAATAATTTGCGTTAGTACTTGAAATCACCTGGATTCTCAACGGTGTACGTACGTCTGTGCCTGGAAGTCCGCAGGAAGGGGTTGGCCACTGACCAAACGATCACCAGTCACGACACCGACATCAACACGCTGTGCCAAGACGTTGAGGAGTGTAGTCTAGAAATATATTAGACGGTGATGACACTGGGACATCTAAATGTCTCACCTTTCCAGCACCCGACTCACCCATGAGGGCTGTCAGTTTCCCGGGAGCGACAAAGCCAGAAATATCGTCCAAGAGCCGACGTTGTGTTCCTCCGGAGATAGGAACCGTGTATTGTAAATGCCTCCAAGTAAAGATGTCCGTTGCCGAGGGCCTATCGAGTTCTGCAGGGCTGGCATCCGTGCTCGAAGGCCCAGCAGGCTCAGGGTGAGCGCCTTTCTCCTCGTCCTTAGACTCATCAACAGCCTCAGCAGCGCGGGTACCCTGCTTGAAAAGCGTCACAGCAGTGTCAAATGCAGAAGCGGTGTTGAACTCGGTCGCAGTGAACAGAATAACGAGGAAGCCAACGAAGAAAGCACAGACGACACCAAAGTCCTGAAGAGCCAAATTAGTGAATCCCTATGCCACAGAAACATTGATAGATTTACCCTCCAAAGGTTGCTGTAGTAGTAATCATAGGACAATTGCGTGAAGAGATTCCCGTCGACATAATTTTGACCCGGCTGGGCACCGATAGTAGCGCACACTTGATTAGCCAACGAAATATTTGGATATGCGGGGCCTGAGGGAACAAGCATTGAGCAGGTGCCGTTCAGAGTGTGGAACTCGTTCGTTAGCAGAGCCTCGAAACCATAGCGCACGGGCTGCACACTGGCGGTGAGTACGTATACCAACAATTGCAATCAAGAAACGTACGTTGATATACATAATCCAGCGGAGGGCTCCTGGAATGTCGGGCTTGGGAATCGTATAACCAGTAAAGAGCGCTACTACCACCACCACGACACCAGCAAGAGATGTAGCCGCAGACTCAGTCTTAAAGCACGCGGCAACCATTCTGAAGAATGCCTTCATAGTCGTAGTCATAGCAAAAACGAAGAGGAAGAAGATGCTATATGCATTCAGCGGGACTCAGCAGTTGCATCAAAGGCAAGACTCACAAAAATTGAGACGCCGTTCTCTGAAGGTCGACCAGGAGATATAGAATAACCGCGAACACAGCTTGAATAATGAATGTGAACGGGATATCGACCATTGTGTGTGCGAAACTTTCAATGAACGGGTAGTACATTGCTGCCTTGTGGTGCCGGAGCACAATTGGACGCTGAGCGAAGAGAGCCGGAATTTCTGCCATAGACGATAAAGCACCGAAGAAGAGAGCGCTGATGACAAATTAAACACATGCACTTGAGCAACTTTAGAAGCAAAACACGCACAAGAACAGGACACCACCACGAGAGAAGTAACCAGAGGTTGCATCAGGTAGCTTCAAGAACACAGTACCCATAATGATGGACTGGAAGATTTGCACGCTGGAACAAATTTGATGGTCAGTCGATTGATGGACTAAAATTGGCGGCACACATACGCAAGGTTGACGACTACAGTGCCCCAATCTCCCTTGATGATTTGCACGCGGCGCATCATAACGGCTCTAACCTGCATAGGAATAGAGATCGTATACGAGTGTGCCTTGGGAGCCGTGTCGGCATGCTCCATTATGGCACTCTGCCTGTATGCGTCTATGCGCTCGGGCTTCCCGACATTGTGGGAGCGGTAATTCTCAATGGAGTCACGGTTTGCCTGACCGAGAGAGGAAGCGAGGAACACAGCAGCCATCTCCTCCGACGTTCTGGGAACTTTGCCCTCGAAACCATCACGAATCTTTCGCCCGCTTGGATTGGTCACTAGAAATCACTGGATTAACTAAATCCCTTCTAAACCAATATAGAACATACCAGACACGAGGAAGTCAGCAGTGGTTTGCCTGTCTTGCGGCTCATATCCCATATCAATGAAGTACTGACGCGCCTCCTTAGCTGAGCCAAAGTACACCATCTTGCCCTCTGCAATGACGCATACTTTGTCGAAGAGGTCGTAAAGCTGCTCTCCTGCTTGGTAAATAGACACGATGGTAGTAAGACGACCTATATCCGTGCCGATACGTAAGGCCTGAACAAACTCAAGTGCAGTGGACGCATCGAGCCCACGAGTAGAGCTAGAATATTACTATTAGCACCATGGCCAATGGACAACAAACACACATAAACTCACTTGTCCCACGCGCCAATCAGCGCACGGCAAGACAGTGCTTCTGCAATGGAGACACGTTTCTTTTCGCCTCCTGAAACACCACGAATGGCAGCATCGCCGACAACAGTGTTTCGGGCATGACGAAGACCGAAGATGCGCACGAGGATTTCAACTACATCACGATTAAACTGTTCACGTGTTTGGTCTGTGAACCGAGCATGTGGAGTACGCGTTTTGATGGCGAAAGACAAGGTTTGCTCCACAGTCAAGGTCGGAAAGTGGACATCATCTTCAGGACAGTAGATCACATCTCCACGATACTGTCTTGCGATATCATCGGGGGTGAAGGAATCATAGCATACTTCGCCCTGTATAGCGTGGTATTCGCCACGCTGGTTTGCAATAGTCTTAAGGAACGTGCTGCAGCCGGAACCGGGTCGTCCGAGAACCACTGTCGCGAACACGTGATTAGCGCAAAAATTTAACTTTACGTTAGTTTATTAAAACGACTAACGGAGCATTTCACCAGGTGCAACGACACCCTCGAACCCTGAGAGAATATCCCTGACAGGCGGGTTGCGCATCGCCGAGATGTTCCTCAAGATGGCAGCAGGATTAAACATAGAACCGATGGTAGGCTGTAGAGAGGCACGTGCACCGACACCGATAACACGGAGATCTTTGAACATAACGCCAAGCTCACGGCCCTTAATGGACTCTTCGCCACGACTAGTAATATATCAACAAAGGCAACTAATTTTTTTATTGCGGAACTCACCGTCTGACGAGGTCTTTGAGCGTGACTTCAAAATCGAAAGCATCATCGTCGTATGCTGAAGTCACAGAGGATGAACTTGGAGTATCGACGCCCTTTGCTGAGGCAGGTATAGGAGGCTTGGGTGAACTTGCGCGACGAGAGCTTTCCCGATTATTAACTTGAGAACGTGTGGAACGTGATGTCATTGTGCGTTTAAGTTCGCTAACACCAACTGGGTCAAAAAAATTGACTGGAACGCGAGAGGGAGATGAGTGGACGCCTTCGTAGGTCTCGTCTTGGTGTGGCTCATCCTGAGGAACATTAGTTTCCAGCTGAGAGTCAGGAAGACTCATGATGAGGAACGTAAAGGAAGGGAAGGGGAAATGTTTAAATCAACAAGGAGAGAACTGGGAGACTAAATAGTCTACCGGCAAAGGAAAACATTAAGTACTCGGTCAGGGCGTACTTATTCGACCGAAATTCGATACCTTCCATGGATCCGGAGATCACATCACAATACATACAGCATGAAACACAAGAACCTCGCGGACTTTAAAATCGACGGTATCCGAATAGGCAAGCACTTCAGAGTACTGCGCCAAATGCATGCCCGGGATCATGCCCGAGCCTTGCGTTCGTCACCGTGGGCACCCCGAGCTATGCCCGAAGACTGCGATGACGAGCGTACTCGGCATGTGGAGCGACGAGAACTAACTGGTGAACCACGAACCCGACGGGCGTAGGCGCTACTCAAAATGTCGTATAGATGCCTTCTTTAACCTTCCACTTCTTAATTAGGAAGCGATAATATCAAAACAATGGCGAACCCTTCCTGATCATTAATAACAAGCATAAATATTCAAGCATCGATGAGTAGCCCATGTCGTCCGTAACTGACTCTGTCATCTTTAGAAACATATTCTCTACTCCAGCCATCTCCTCCGTCTGGTCAGATACGCAACGTACTTCCTATTATCTCCTCTTCGAAGCATCCTTGGCATCTGTCCAGGCAGATATCGGGATCATTCCTCGCGAGGCTGCCGATGCCATCCTCGCCTTTTGCCATGTCACCAACATAGACTTTGATGAACTAAGAATACAAACAGAAAAAATAGGCTATCCCGTCCTTGGGGTAGTCAAACAGATAGTCCAAAAAGTAAACAGTCTCCAACCTGGTTTAGGCGAATGGGTTCACTGGGGTGCTACTACCCAGGTACATCATATGTCATACTGGGTTTCAAGTATTTATTGTCTCAGGATGTCACCGACACCGCAACAATCCTACAACTTCGGGACACTCTCGATCTAGTCTCAGCGACGTTAAACGCAATTACCTCGGACCTTCGTCGTCTCTGCCAAACTCACAAAACAACCCTTATGGTAGCTCGCAGCAACCTTCAACAAGCCGTACCCATGACCTTTGGCTTCAAAATGGCCCGCCTCCTCGCCACCTTTGAACGCCACAAACAACGTCTTGCTGAAATAAAATCCCGTCTGCTTGTGCTCGAGTTCGGTGGCGCTGCAGGGACACTCGCCACTATCAAAGATGGCCGGGGTCTCGAATGCCAAGCAGCTCTTGCCCAGAAATTGAGTTTGTCGGTCCCAGAGATTGCATGGCATACAGAACGTGATCGTATCGCGGAGGTTGGCGGCTTTTTCGCGCTTCTTACGGGGACCTGTTCTAAATTCGCCACGGACATCAAGCTCATGATGCAAACGGAAGTCGGAGAGATCTCAGAACCATTCTATCCACACCGCGGTTCCTCTTCGACGATGCCACAGAAGCGTAATCCCATCTCCAGCGTGTATATCACCGCCATGGGCGCGACTGTCCGTCAGCTCTCTGCAGCGCTGTATGATGCTATGGTTGAGGATCATGAGCGCGCGACGGGGCCTTGGGAGATAGAGTGGATTGTTCTCCCGCAGATCTGTACTCTCACTCACGCTGTGTTATTGCATACGTCCGAGCTTATTACAGGGTTGGAAGTGCATTCAGACGCTATGAAGAGAAATCTGGAAATCACAAGGGGCGGCGTGGTAAGTGAGGCTGTCATGATGGGCCTCGCTCCAAAATTGGGACGACAATTTGCGCATGATTTGGTTTACGATCTGTGTAGGCGGAGCGTCCAGGAGGATCTCCCCTTGTTGACACTGCTCTGTGCGGATGATAAAGTCCGGGAGAGCGGGCTATCGAAAGAGGAGCTCGAGGGGCTCTGTGATCCAGCTAGTTACACGGGATTGTCCGTGGAAATGGTTGATCGTGTTTTGGCAGATACTTATCCCGGTTAGTAAATAAGACTTTGCCCGCTATCAGTTGATTTCTGTGTAGGACCGCAAGGGGGTTTATCAGCTATCGCTTATCGCTTTCCACGTTCCCCGATTATCACGCTAGGTCGTACACACACTATTGTTACAGCAAGGTTCCATGATGTCCTACATGCCCGGGGTGATGCCAGTCCTCGTTATGGCGTGCTGAGCACACGATACTAATCTCCGCCGAAAGCATCAGAGCTGCACACCTTGCATGGTCACCCGGACTATGTACATTAGTTCTTCTGTCTCACTTGCCGCACCAGCCCAGATTTGTTTGTACCTGCCAGAGTCTCATGAGATCGTCTGACGGTTGACACATACGGCGGATTCCATATCTGATAACATCATACACTGGTGCAATTTTGGCCAGTTTTTTCTTAATTTGACACCTACATCAATCACACGAAAGTAGATATCAGTAGTGCTGACCTTGTCGCTAACCTATTTTGATGCATTATGTTATGGTCTATATGCAACCCAACCCACCCATGCTGAGCCACGTTTCTTGGAGGGACTGATACTACGCCGTAAGGTATATCTGATTGCATTTATTGTACAGTGGAACAACCCGACCATATAGCTGCTACGTTAGCATCAGCGTGAGTTCAATTTTCCTCATTTCAGAGGTATATTATGCCGCTCAGAAGTAACAGAACGTTAGGCTCGGGACCAGCCTGGCTTATACAATCACGGACAAGTCGAGTGGCGTACCACTTACGAGTCTAGTAGGCAAACGTGGCATAGGACATTATGGCAGCGCCGTTTTCCGATTGACGAAAGAAATGTGAGTCGAAATAAGGAAAATGGTATCCTGTGGGACGATGGTCAAATATTTGTCGTGTTCTTCTTTCGACGAACTCAAAGGGGCCAGACTGTGCCTACTTCGATGCGTCTTTTCGACCTTGGTCAAATTGCACTGGATTCATCGTTCATGCAGAAGTGCAAGTGAATTGTTGTCTCCGACTTTATTAACTACGAGTTCGACATAGTAGTCTGGAACAGCCCAAACACAGAAGCCAGCGGGCGCAAGAGCGGATAAGAAAACTGGCCGAAAGCGTTTGTCGTTTGTTCCTAGAAATATCTGTACTATGTATACTATGTATATCCTGTATGAAAGATGCCCAATCGCATCAAAAAGTGAAGCACTTGCCGGATGTGCGATGCAGCGAAGGAACAATCAATCAGACAGGTGAATCATACTAGGCATGCATGAGAAGTGGGTAATCTATTTAATTCAGGGCGAGGGAAGCTCCTCCAAAGACCAAGATTGGAGCTGCTACTAATATTGTGAGCGGTACAAACAATCCTAGCGCCCTAACGTTGTCAAAAAAAAAAAACTTGCGTTTCTGGTAGTCTGTCGTGGCTCGGACGCCCCTTACGCGCTGTTCTACGTCATTCCAACACACGCGGTCAGCCAAGGGCAGACGAAGATGTTTTACCGCACGTGCCATTCATCTGCTGTGCGCATTTGCCACTCCAATGCCTCCAGTACCTGTTCCAAGCCCTGTCATCAAAACCATCTGGATCTTAAGACGGTTCTCCGCATCAGAGGCTTTATTCCACCGCTCGAGTTGCACTAAAAGCAACCACATGGTATTGTAAACAAGATCCTGGTGCCAACTGTCATCATCTGGTGCGCGCATCGTGGGTGATATGGCAAGAGCATATGCGTCCCACGGGTTGCCTGTTGAGGCGACATCGTCAGGGAATGTTACAATCATGCAGGAACCAGGGGGGATGTGACCATGCCAGATATCTTGAGTGTAAGTCTGGCAGTGGTCAGTCAAGTGTCATATACCCTTGAGTTCATAATCGAATCTAATGTGGGGTAAATAGGATTCCCTGCTGAGAGGGACCTACTCACCCACCATCCATGATTCCAAATGAATTGGGGCAATCGCAGCGCAAGCGTTTAGGATCTATAAGAGGGTCAGGAAAGTGTTCTTGGATGCAAGCATCTATGAGTGTGAAAACCGAGGACCAAAGAGTTCGAGGTACGAAGCGAAGCGAGTTACCAAGTCTGATCAGACGCCTGTCGTAGACACCGGCTATAGCCGGAATGAAGTTCCTACTAGCAATTAAGCTGATCCTGCATGATCTCCTCGGATTAAACTTCGTGCGACTTGTAGTGATGGACCGAGCAAGGTTATCATAGGATGTGAGCGAGTATTACGAGGAAATCATAAAACAATTAATATTAAATCTAAACTGAATTAGGCTTCATACATGATGGGCCTGATAGTTCTCGAGAGTACTGTTTTTGGCGGAGGTCGGAATACCCCTTCCATGTAATTTAGCTTCTCTAGTCGTTCATGTCGTCCATCGAAGCGCTCCGTAGACCACGGCATGTATATCCATCTCAATTGATCCTCATCTTATATTTTATACCCTCATCCTCCATCCCTTCACGCTCCTTACATTCCCCACCATGGAAGATACTCTCGCCGTCCTAGCTTCACATTTCATTGGTTAGTATCACACTCAATCCCTCCATGACACCCTACTGACCGCGCTACCAGGAGTCATCATCTCTAGCATGTGAGCTTATTCCAGTTGATATCCCGACATCGTTCATCATCATCTTTTTATTAGGTTCTATGGTTTTACTCTCGCCCAGACCTGGCGGTATTTCCGAACTTATCCAAAAGACAGATGGTGTATGAAGGCCTTGGTAAGCACAGCATATCACGTACCCCATCCCCAATTGCAAATCTCAAGCGTCTTTTTCAGGTAGCCTTTCTGTGGTTCGTCACTTGACTCTCAAACTCAGTCTGCGCTCTGAATCATGTTCCCTAGGACGTTAGATACAGCACAGCTCGCCCTTGTCGCCGCATCGATATATCACTATACCATAGTGTGGCAGGGTGACATTACAATGTCATCACATGTATCAAAGTATGTCATTTCACACTCGTCGTTCCGCCGCTTATACTTATTTTTAACTAGAACATTTGAGGTGGGCTTCTCTCGTTTCATCATATCATAGTGTCGTAACAACTCATTCACAGGCATCAATGGGCATTACTGTAAGTTGTTCAACGACCCTTTCAATCAGAAGCATCCTCACTCTGTCATAGTCAATAATAGCTTTTCTGGTGCAATTGTACGTCTGTTATCTTTACTTCGTGGCGATAAGCACTCATTCCGCCTTTTAGGACATATGCTCACCGTATATGGCGACGTGAGGTCTAAGCCAACAATCTCGAGAATTTACACTCAAAACTCTCTAGTTAGCTTTGGAAACATTATAGTCACATTTTTCATAGTAAGTCTGGGAAGTCTGCATTCGTATCTCAGTTTGCTCATAGTGCCGGCGCCGCAGGTCCTTTTGGCATTGGCCGCGCTAGGTAAAATAACTATCTACTCCGAGCGCGACATGGCTGATTCGCATAACTTACACACAGGATCTGGCGGAGGTACGCTTAAATCCCCCTCTATGTTATCTCTTGCTCAAATCGGTCGCAGCAATGGTTGTCAAAACGTGAGTTTACTTTGGTCCAACACTGGACTAATTGACGTTCACATATCTCTAAGTGTCCGTGATCCCCTGTGGGATAGCACTCACGTCAGCAACGTAAGCCCACCTTCAAATCTATCAGCTTCCACAACCTTACGCGACCCTCAGCTGCCCGCTTCTAGTTTTTACTTATCTTCGATGGCATGTGACTTCCTAATTGCCGCTACGCAAGTGTACTTTTTTCACAAGTCCCGGACCGGGATAGGAAGGTCCGTCCCATCCATCGTTTTTCAGTCTTGTCGTCTCATTTTTGTCAAGACTCGGTGGTCTCATCACTAGATTGACCGTGCTTGTTGTCAATGTGGGCTTGATAACTACGTAATCGTGTCTCTCGTACAACGCTGTTCCACGACTGATTCGTCATTTCAGTGTAGATGTCACACTCTTTCTCATACTGGTATGCATCTCAACGGGAGAAGCGATCCCACTCACAAACTCTCTTTCAGTTTCTCGTCTGCCCCCACAATGGCGCCTTTCTTGTGCCATACATCCTCATGAGCCACTGTACGTCCCCCCGCTTGTAATTCATCATAAACTTACCCACTCGTGTTGCAGGTTATCTAAATAGTTTTCTCAGTGTGTAAGTCCATTTTCCCGCCTCAATAACCAAAGTCTCAACCCTACAAGTCTTAACTCTCGTCTTGAGCTACGGGAGCTGGTCGATAACGACGACGTAGGTGATCCCGATATTCTCTGGTGCTGACTGTACCTGACACGACGCCATCCCAGTACGCTTGTCCCAGCATCTACACCATTGCTTCAGAACTGGCATGATGCAAACATCAGGTCCCTCTAGCATACTTCCCGCGCCGCATTGTGTGATACCCACTGAGGCAGATTTTGAAACTAGCTGTGAGTTGTACTGCGAGGCCTACCCCACATACAATTCTAAGTTGAACCCTTTTGCAGGACATAGACATTGCATTGTACATTATTTCACCCCAGCACAAGATAGATAGATCATACGCATCATTTCACCGGCAGTTGAACTGCCAAAAAAATTCAATACTGCTGGCATATGCAGATGACGTTGAGTTCAAACAAGTACATATGTATATATACTGTATAGTGACTCGTGAGGTCATGGCGGAAGCCGCAAAAATACAGACAAGTTCGAATGACTGAGTGCGAGTTCCCGCTATCAGAGATTCCAGAACGCGATCGCCGAGAACATGCTAGGATGCGCTAGTCCACCTGGCTACTGTCTCCTGGACAAGCTGCTAAAGGAGATAAGCGAGGTTGTTCACTATCACGCCCGTCGGTAATCGATGTGAAGACGAGGATGGCTTCATATATGTATGTACTTTCGCTGTCAGCGAACCTTGACAAAAGTGAGTTGTGAGTTTTGGTCGAAGATCGGAAAAGTAGTACACAGTAACCTGCAGTACTAGTACTATTGAGTTGTACGAGTTATCACTTAACATACCGCTTACACTGCATACGCCAAGCTTGACGCGAGCCATGGAAAGACGAGAAATGATATAGTCAGGTGTGATTCGAGAGCTTCGTCCAGTTTACCTGCCAACAGGAAAGCCTGGTACCGTTTCTGGCGTGCAGTCAGCAACGAGGACTTGAAAGCCTGAGTTCCCATCCAAAGATCTGGACAAAGCACCGGATATGCATGTCAAGCATCGTTATTAGTTACATTATACCGAGATATCACCAAGAACGAAGGTCCGGCCCCGATGGGAAAGCGTTGGAGCGGCAGTGACTTTGTCATGTCACATGCCATCGATTTTGAGCTGAACATGCTCTTGATGTGTGAGGTTGTAAATATCAGCGCCGATGCGTAAGCCTCCTAAGCGCTCACTTCCCAGACACAACATGCAAAGATATCATATATGATGGTTCGGACAGGTGGAAGATAGCTCTATAACGGGTAACATCGCCTCTCTACTTTGATCTCCATGGGAGAGGGCGATAGCCTGATATACGGGAATGAAGCGATAAGTACGCAAGACAAACCTTATTTAAAAAGAAGAGAAGGAAAGTTTCTAAACCTTTGTTCGTGAATGATGCTGTCCTTGCATCCTAGACTTTGGAGACGTGCAGCCAGTCAAAGAGGCCTGGGCGTGCTGATGCACTATATCATGACGAAGTCAGCCTTAGGGACTTGTGATGTATACAGCGCGACACATTACGGTGGAGGTGAATCCTGGGATATTGTGATGGTTCTTCGATCCGAGAGGCGGGCTTGGTTATCAAGATATGCAGAGCCTCGGATGAATGTGTCAACAGGATTAATATTGGAAGTACCGTTGAAGGATGGGACTGGAAGACGTGAGAATGAGAGGTATACCGGTAAGATGCTGACATGATGCAAATAGCCAGTGAGCACAACTACCATACGATTGAACCTCCTCCAGCTAACAATGCCCAGCACAACGGTTTCAACTTAATTCACTGTCCATAATCCACCTCAAATGAATTTTGGTTGTGTGCCATGGTTTATAAACCGTAGGCATTTCCTCTGCATCGTCATCACTTTTCATCTCTAACCTCATGCAGTCACTCCAGACGGTAACTAGAAGGAGTCCATACTCGTTGAGTACCAATATTCTGCTCCACCTGCGCCTACCTCTGATGTCGTGTGTGACGTTCACACGACCGTCCCGCAGACGACGATGATCGTGACGTCTCAGAGTTTCATTGCCGAGTATCCATTCGAATCAGTGCTAAAGAACATTACGCCAGCATTCCCGACGCTTTCGATTTTCACGAACAGGTACAAGTATTGTCTCTCCGGCCTAGCATGCAAGCTGAACACACACTACAGACCTCCAGATATTATTTGTTGTACATCAGTGTCAGTGACAATCTACAACCTTATTGATGTCATTGTTGCCCAGATGTATTTTTATACTAAGGGTGCTCTTGCAGGTATGTCAGGCTCTTCGCCAGACATACATGTCCTCTTCTGAGTTTCAGTACATCGTTGAAGTCCGTGGCAAAAGTTGCTCCCTGTCCCAAACACTGACGGACAGCTCGAACCTCACTCCTACTTCCAAGCGTTAACAAATCCTTGAGAGACAGAGCCTACGCATGGTCCAAGTTTGACATCCACTCTTCCAAAACAGTCAGAAGGCTGGTTCGCAGTGGAATATTTGTCACGAATGCGCGCGATTATGCTACTCGGTTCCCTCAAGTCCTGATTCAAATACCCCAACTTTATTCGGATCGAACAGGGCCCCTTTACCCCACATTCCTCTACATTACAGGCTTGTCGATCTCCACGGCATTCTAATGTATCATCCTACGCTTTTCTTTGACAAACCCGATACTCGGCCATACGCTCAATTCAGCAACTTCTCTGAGCACGAGGAAGCTGTCACCTGCCAATACTACCCTAAAGTCTCTCGGAACCTTGTTTCCCTGACGACCTGATCTGCCCTAGGATCTATTACATCAAGCTCTTGAAACGGTCTTACATATCCACCTCAACTGATTGTGTGCATGGGCCATGGTATATAAAACATTGGTATTTGCTCTCCGTCGTCATTACCTTCCACTCTTGCTTATTTTCACCTCTTGCAGTCTGTTCAAACTATTGGACTCAACGAGCACGGACCTCCTCAGACTTGCAAGTCCCTGGCAGCTTCGGAAGTTCTGTCTTCGTGGATCTTCCGAGGTTACCAGGGCTTGGGTTAAGGAACCTGTAGCATCGTAGTAGTCTAATGATGCTCTTATACTCAAAAGTATTTATTGGCTCTATGGACCATGTTGGACCGAACTTTCAAAGGACCGAAGGATGGACATGTACTAGCCTGCACCTCAGATGTCCGATGTCCTTCTTTCTTCCCTAAAGTGCCCGGACTTTTCGTGTAAACTTGCTTGCCGTCTTGGTCTCAAGTATGGAAAGTTCGACGACATTACTCGGGTAGCCGTTGCGACAAATGGGGACTAGGATCTGTCTGATCTATATGATATCTTTTCAGGGTTGCCAATATATACATATGCATTTGCTGCTCTGAATATTGTCGACCGGGGCCTTGTGTATTATAAATGAAGTTCATGTTGGTAACGCAACATAAATGATTGAATCATCCTTTCCTTGGACGTGTGCTGAAATGCCGACATACTCGCCGTGCATGACTCGTCCTCGATGCAGGCCACTTGGTCTACCCCACTGTTCTCGTCTTGTCTTAATTGATCGAGCATTTGACTGCCCGGGCCTGCACAAGTCAAATCGGTATCGCATTGGCTAGCTATCCACATACATTACACACGCATATCCATCAGCATAATTGTAGTGTCGTCCTTCCTGTCACACAAATGATACCGCAAAGACGCAGCAGCCACTCCCAGCTATATAATTTACTGGATCGCATACCCAGACGCCACAAGCGCCTGCACAAATGGTTGCACTACCTTTTCATCACCTGTAGCCAGCAACCCCCTCACGCGTGGGTCCGCTTTCACCAGTGCCTGCCCTAAGAAGTCTTGCGGATCGCGCACATATGCCACAGGATCCACAGGTGCGCCGTCTGCCGCTGCGAGTCGGGAATATGCAGCCTGATACCCCGCAGTCTGCTCCTCGAAGTCAATCTCCGTTATGCCAGTACTTTGTTCTTCGTCTTTCGACTTGGCGAGATACTGTGGCTCGCTGAAGAGCTTGATGACGGAGACGAATGCCGGGTGCCTGTGAAAGGGACGTGGGTTAGTGGTAAAAAGGGGAGGGGGTGCAATTCACCAGCTCTGCGTGCTTGGAGGCGTAAGCATGATCCTGCTCTGCGTGAGCATGCGGATGAGGCCGACAGCTGCAACTTTCCTGTCTTTGTGTGGCATCTTTGGCACCTGCGGGATGATGAAGTTGACAAGAACTTGCGACCAAAGCCTGCAAAATGAAATAGATGAGCGATATGACAGATTTGAAGAGTAACATGCGCCTTACTGCGCCTGAATCTCTTCGATAGCGGATATGACATAGTCCGGCCCAAGCCCGTCAACATTAACGGCCATCGTGAAGAGAAGGAAGTGGGAAAAGAGATATACATATTTATCCGTTTTGCTCGTCTGCATCCTTGTGAGTAACGTCATGACGACTGCCTTGAAGTACTGTTTTAGCTGCGCTCTAACCAGCCAATGCTGTAAATTCCACCTTCACTATAGCAAGAACACAGAAGACTCACGGAGGCACATGTTGCACTACACTCTGCAGAAGTTCAAAACCCCAACCATCGTTGATTTTGGAGGGTATCAGGCGTTGCTGGATGACGGCCAGCACGGCTGTGATCTGCCCTGTCTTGACCATCTCAGCGGCGTCACGGGCAAGGAATGCTTTGAGAAGCTTCACGAGACCGGGGATACTGCCCTTTTGTTGCCAGCATGTGGGCGTCAGGAGGAAGGGGAGGAGTGAGCGATATTCGGATGGCACGCCCGTGCTGTGAGCTTCTAGCATCTGAGCGAGAATCTGGAAAACGTAAGGGATATACTCTAGGTGGTAAAATCAGAAATGAGGGATAAGTCATATTTTAGCTCCTTACGATCTATGTCCTGTTGAAGAATAAACGTGAAAGGGCCAAAGAGCGTCTGCTCGAACGTAGGCAGGGTGGAAGGTGTACCACCCACAATAAACCTGCAAAGAGTGTCGGCCAGGATTCCTAGTATGAAGCGAAAACATACCTCAACAGCGCCGATATACTTTCAAATATGTACTGGTCGAAATTGGGATTGCTCGGGTTCTTTGCAATGACACCAAGGATAGTGACCAGTCGCTGGAGCACTTGTTGATAGACAGGGGTAAGAGTTTGACGTGCGGTGACGATTATGCGCATGGCGCCTGCACACGAGAGTCAACACCCGCCAGCACAGTGTGTGATTGACTTACATTTCATCAAATGGTCATTTTCGGCAACCTTTTCAGGAGGACCGGCAGCTTCTATCTTGTTCAAGAGTGCATTGAGTAAGTCAGCAGCAAGATCGTGGATATCGGCTTGAGAGAATCTGTGGTCAGAGCATGAGCGCAAGGTTTTCGTCCCACAAATCCAAACGCACAACAATTGTGTCCCCTTTTTGATGGACAGTATACGGTCGATCGTGATCGCAGCATATGTATACGTGACATAGTGGTCCGCATTTAAGTGCCGGACCAACAGAGGGAGCACCGACAGAAGTTGATTTCTTGTCAGCTGGTAGAAGTATGAGCGCTGAAGCGTTAGCTCGTATTAAATTACAAATACCTGGTTCCTGAAAGTCAGAAGGAATCGAATCGCATCAACATAGAGGATTTCATGGATACTGCCAGCCGGTGCCTGGAGATCCTGATACACATGCTCAGAAAAGAACTTCACGACATCCACCAATGCATTCGTGGACGTGACACCATGCTTTTGTTGCCGTAAGATCGCAGTGCTCATCGACAAAAACTGACGTTCACTCACCTGTGTTGTCGACGCCTCTGTTGCCACGGCAGTGAGCAAGTATATGGCACTGTCCTTCGCCTTCCAGTTCTGCGCAGGGTTCGAATTGTACTGTTGCAATCCTGAAGTGATCCACGTCCCCACAATTTCCGTGGCTTCGGTTTGGTAACCCGAGCTGACTAAGGCTTGCAGCACGTCTGCAGCTGCCTGACGCCGAGTTGCCACTTCTGATGCACTGCCTCCGAAAGCCAAATCAAGCCGAATGAACTCGAGCGGCTCATCTTCAAATTGCTCCATCTCATGGTCGCGTAGTCCAATATTAGGGATAATGACGCCTTGTACGAGAGAGGCAATGGTATCGCGCGAAGAGAAAAGCGACTTATAGTAACCCGACCGAATTGCGGTGGATATGAAACGCAAAGATTGAGAGACAAGCTAGGAGGCCGATGCCAATGAGGTCGTTAGAGAACAAAACAAAACAAACTTGGAAGCGTACCGAGTCATCCGCGACACCAGGGAGCTTGTTCGACCCGATGAGCTCCCATACGCTCTGTACAAATCCCTCGACAGCAGGCGAGCGTGATAGTTGGTCTGGGAAAAGCTTGATGTAAAGCTGTTACATATGTTAGCATTTGTTCACCATTTCCGACCTGCTGCAAACCTCGCCAATCTCGAAAATCTTGGTCTTCAACTGAGCAGGCAGTGATGGCTGTGTTTCATCAGGCTAAATGAAGCGTCAGTAACTGGCAATGGACGACAAAGACATTACTCACATCGGATCGAAGTTCTGCTGGGTCCCATGACATGAAACGCTGAAAGAGTCCAGTTTGTGGAGCAAAAAAGGAGTCGTGAGCATCTTCGATACCTGGGGGTAGATCTTGACACGTAAAGTCGTAGAATATATCAACGAGAATGATCTGGGCTTGTGTTACGATAGCGATATTAGGTGGGGCAGGGGAAGAAAGCAGGATGGTTGCAGTTTGATTGGAAAGATCAAGGAAGGGTTGCATAAAACGAGATAACACGAAGTTGATCTCCGTGAATAGCTCGTCCGAGCGAACTTGGGCTCGCCATTGGTTGAAGATCGAGTGAGCAGTCTGTAGGACCCCGA